AATATATATATATATATACTATATATATATATATATATATATATATATATATATATATAGTACTACAGTTACGATATTTTTTAAATAATAGAAGCTTAAGACTAAGAAATCAGGATGTGCCAGTCTAGAATGTTAGAAATCCGTGATATGTTACGAATGATATGTACATTTACTGTACGCTAACTCCGACGACGTTTGCGACAATACGACACGATGCACAATGGACGCACCGGATGCAGCAAGTTCTGTAAACGGGCGAGCATCGTTTCTCAGGTGGAGAACGGGCGAGAGCATTGAGAGAACAAGCCCATTTTGCTGTGTATCTTCTCACATTGTTCCGTTCGCCACCTGGTGGTATAAGTAAAGTGATTAATGCGGCGGCAACGAGAGCGAACAGTTCGTTCTGAGCTGCAACGAGACGCGCGACGTCTACGAAGTGTCATACGCCGTATATGCACTTCGTTAACCGCGCGAAATTCCATCCGGATTCTACATGAGCGGATGTCATGCTGCATATTGGCATAGAAGACCTGGAAACCTTGTAAGGAAAACTTGAGATACCACGCTATCTCTACAATGACATAATTTATCAATTAGCATCAAATTCCAGTTTCCAAGATTATTGTGTTGCACGATACGGATGTTGTAATATAGATGATTTGTACTCTCAGATTAATATTAGTAAACAATTATTAAATGACACAATTTTAAAGTTTATTCTATGGGAAAGAAGGATTTATGGAAAGTATAAAGCTATACTTAAAGAAAATGAACGATAAATCTATTTAAAATGTAAACTTTAAAGATATAAATATTAGATAAAATAAGTTGAATTTAATAATATTCCTTGCTTTAGTTTGTTTTTTAATTTAATTTATTATTGATAATTATATATTAAGTACTTCCGTCTCTGAGGACGGGAGAGGTAAGTGATTTACTGATAAAGTTAAGCAGAAAGATTTTGTAATCATCGCGATGAAAGAAAACGATTGGTTGTTAAAACAAAATATCGGAATATTGGTGAAGACTAGTTATTAAACTGTTCATTCGAAATCAGTTTCAGGCTTTCATTTAAGCGCAAGGAGCACAGCAGCAGGCGGGAACACCGCGAATCCTTGAGCGGTGCTCTACCTGCGAAGTTTATACGAGCTACAACGGTGAAGCCGCATACGCTGAGCCCGCGTTGGAACGAGAAGTTCCGTTTGTAAGCGAAAACTTTGGGGCCTGAACCCCTCGTAATTGGCGCTCGCAATGGCCATCCTTTATTAGTCTAAGTACTGCAAATCCGTGTACATATGCATAACCATACAACGATTCCTGTTTCAGCGACATCGATGACGTCAACACGGACATCCTCCACCTGGACATATGGTGAGTTTGCATTAAATACGTACTAATTTTTTCTTATTATTACCAATATTTTAATATATCACTATTTTATTAATATTTATTACATATAATTTATTTCAAGTATTTATTTAGAAAAATAATTGAGATAAGGTTTCTGTGTGTGTGTGTGTGTGTGTGTGTGTGTGTGTGTGTGTGTGTGTGTGTGTGTGTGTGTGTGTGTGTGTGTGTAGTACGTAA